GGAACCAGGTTTTGCCTCCACGTGGAATTCTCCCTGCCATAAAATGGAAATGATATGAACCATTCATATTTCACATAGACAAGGAATTCATTAAGCCAGGGCACTTCACAAGGTCATGAACAAATAGAACTAAGGAGCAGACGCTGGGCCCAGTGGTTAGGATGACACCTGGGATGCCCACAGCCCGCACCCATGCACCTGATCTTGAGTCCCTTGCTCCACTTGTGAGTCCAGGCTTGCAGCTGATGTGTGCCCTCAGAGGCCGCTGGTGCTGCCCAAGAACCTGCATGCCCGACACCCACACGGGAGACCCAGACTTCACCCTGAGCTAGCACTGTCACTGCAGGCATTTGAGGACTAAACCAGAGAATGGAAGAGCTCTTTCTTTGTCTTTCAAATAAATCAACTTTTTAAAAATCACTTTCTCAAGACTCCCTGAGCTCAAAAATCCATCAGAGGGCCTTCCCTGAACATCATGCTGCTAACTGTCTGTGTCCTGGCCTCGGTTCTCAGACCCAGGAGAGATGGCCGATCAGCATCAGATTCCCGATGTCTTGCAGTGGGCCTGGCTCTCGGTAGGCACTCCAGCAGCCCTTTTGTAATGAAAGGATCCCCCTTCTTCGAAGCGTGTATTCCCACATCTCCACTGAGTGCAGTCCTGCAAAGTACCTTCTCCTCAGAGAAATCCCCAAGCCCCTCCTGCACAGAGCTCAGCACGTCTTTGCTTTGTCATGTTGCTGCTGTTGACACTGTGGCCACTGATGTGGCTTTATTATTATTATTATTATTATTATTATTATTATTATTATTATAAAGATCCTTGCTGAAGCAGAAATTCTAAAAGTCTTTAATAGCTTCTATGCACTTGGCTGATATCCAAACAGCCACTTAGGAGGCACTGAGTTCTCACTAAGCAAATGAATGTGTGTCTTCACTCTAGGCTCAACCTGTCACCCAGCAGCTTCCAGACAGAAAGTGCCCCACCCCTTCTGTGAGTGGCAGGGAGAATTCACCCACTTGGAACCACATCCCCCCGGCCACTGCTCCGTTCCAGAGCTGCAACTGGGACAGCAAGATCAAAACAGAAAGAGCCCATGCTGCCAGGGGCTACAGGGCCAGCCAGTCAAGCCAGGAGAGCTGTGGCATGCTAGAAGGAAAAATTAAACAGAGTCGGGAGTACTGTGTGTCAGACCCACCACAGGGAACAGCACCCAGTATGAGAAACAAGATTGCAAACCCCTGTCAAAGCAGGCTGAAGCCCCAGTCCCTGGCACCTTAGATTCTGATCCTATGTGTTACAGCTCCTCTGTAATTATGCCAATAGCATGAGCCCAAACCCAACAGAATCTGCACCTGTATGAGAAGAGGAAATGTGCACACAAACTGGTAGAACACAAGCATATGGGCAGGCCCAGGAACCCACAAGGACTGTCATCTTAAGCTTAGACCTCCATCCTCCAGCATCACAAGGAAATACATGCCCATCGCTTGAGCTGCCAGCCTGCGCTCCACTAGCCCCAGCCGACGCATCCACCCAGCATGTCGTCAACCTTCTGCTAGAGCCTCCCAATTGCCAAACAGGAGCCGCAGGCTTTGCCCACTGCAGCTTGCAGGCCCATGGAGAAGGCACACGAAAGACTGTGAAAAGTTCTACAGATAGCACCAGGACTACTGATCTAACCCACTCAGAGCTACATGTCAGGGGTCCTGCGCATCATGGGTGTCCCTAGAGAGAGGGGATTGGAGCCCTAGCATTCGCCTGCTCCAGATCCCTAGAAGGGAAAAGAGCAGCCTTCCTCCCCAGTTATTTCATGGGAGTGGGAGGAACAGAACTTGCGTGGGAGAAGGGAAAGGGAACAGAACAGAAACTACCGATCTCTAAGAAATTCAAAGCAAAAACAAGGCCATGCTTAAGTCCCAGAGAGTTTTCTCCATAAAAACAGCATGTTGGATTTGAAATGTGCACTGCAGGTCCCAGAACACTTGATAGTAGTGAACCTACTTCAACCTGCTGAGGTCAGGAATTGCTCTCAAAATCTGATGAAAGCCTTGCTTCCCCTTTCCAGAAAATAATAATAATAACAATTACTCCATGCACCTGGCACATAAAACATCATATGCCCCAGATATGTTCCTAGAACTTTCTGCAGCAATGAAAACACTCTTGGGTACCGTGGCCACTGGCTTCACGTGGCTGCTGAGCATCAGAGATGAGTGAGGTGAGCAGGACTCAAGAACCGGGCTTTCCGTTGTTTGATCTGAATTCATTTGACATGAAATCTCTGCCTGTGGTTCGCCAAGTCTGTAGGGGATCATGTGGTTACACTGCCCTAGAGGGACTTGTGGCTCCTTTGGCAGTGTGCTCATCAATGGACCCGCAGTCAAGACCCACCACAGTGACAAATCAATCCAAGGATGGTCGTTGTGGAGCCCACCAAGTTGGGATATCCTGTCACTGAATCCCATCAGCAATGCCATTGAGAGAGGGGGTGGCATCATTCCATTTCACAGGCTCAGTTACTGAGGCACTTGGAGGCCCACCACCTTGCCCAGGGTCTCATCTAGTCCACAAGCAGAGGATCTGAGACCAAACCCAAGACTGACCAACATGAGAACTCTAGCTCGTGCCTGACTCCCTGACACCTGCTGGAAAGGTTTCATGAATGGAGGCCCATACTCCTTCCTTTCCCAAGACCTCAAGAGAAATTACTTCCACTCCCTAAAAGAACTCCCACTGGATCTGACTTGACCTTGTAATGGAATACTCTTCCATCAGGTTCACCTCTGACCTCTTTGGAGGGGAATGTATCCCGTGCCCCATTTGCTCTGCGCACTCCCAAAGCCAGAAAGGGCACCAGTACTAACCAAGGAGTTGGATTTCAGCTGCTGCAGACCACAGCATATTGGGAATAAATTTCCTCTGCCTTGCTGGAGAAGATTTCCACTCTGGGCCGAGAAGTCCCCAAGCACAGTAGCGTGCTCCAAGCCCAGGATTCACCCTGGTCTATGCTGGGCAGGGCAGGTCATCCATACCACCCTAACCTCAGGATGTTGTGGTAACTAGGACACTTGAGCAAAAACGCTCAGAATTTAGGGATTTCTTGCAAAGTGCAATTTCCTCCTGAATTTCTATTATGACTTATTTCTAGCATCTAGAAATCCCCCCAGGTCGCCAGGCATATTCAGATTTGCTTGATGGCCTGGAATTCTACTCTGGCCAATTCTTCCCTAAAATGCCTCCTTCAAGGTCCAGGCTGGTAGCCATAAATCTCCAAGGAGGCCTCTGCCCTCAAGCCCCTACGATGCCTGAATATGCTGCCTATATGACTCCTCACTGCTTTTCCACAAGGCCTGGCCTTTGGGATCTGCGTCATACTCATCTTCAAACCCCTAGCCTCCGTGAAGAGAGTGCTTGGCAGGAAGTGGTACTCAGGAGGCCATGGTCCTCAAAGTTTCTAAAACATAAGTTTTTGGAGCTTCCACTGCTCTCCCCAAACTGCCCATTCCGCAGGTCCTGGGGGAGGCCTCAGAGTTCACATTTCTTGCATTTCTAATACTCTCAAGGGATGCTGCTGTTATTGGCTGAGAGACAAATCAGGGCAAAAAAAAATGTGTGTGGAATGATAGAATGAGTTAAAAATTTCCCTTAAAAATCCCCCAAGGCCTCCCAACATGAGCTTTCAAAAGATCAGGAGAAAAGAGATGATCAATATTTACTTCTAGATAAGAAGCAAAAATAGAAGAAGGAGGGGAAAAGAATGGAAAAATAGACTAGAGAACCAAACGAAACAAAACTAAAAATGTCAGAAATGTTTTAGGGTCACCATCTGACTTCCTTTTAATCCTGTGTGATAACTTGTTATGGTCAGAACAGAAATTTAAGATAGATTTATTTTTCTCACTCCATCGTTTGTGTGTGTGTATTCATGGGAAATGCTTAGAGTCAGCAAGTCCAAGATTAGGAATTTTTCATAAGGAAGTAATCAAAATGAACACCAAAATGATGCTCAAGGAAGGTCCCTGAAGCTCTGTTTATTACAGCAAAACTTTGGAACAACCTAAGTGTTGGGCAAAAAGACTAAGACTCAACAAATTATGGTATGTTCACAAGTTAAATACTATAATCTTTCAAAAGGTCTTTACATGGAATATTTAAGGACATAGGAAGAGATGCATAATACAACAAATGAAAAAAAAATAAAACTGTATAAGTAGTATCATCCAACTCTGTATAAAAACCACACACAGATATAAAGAAATGGATGAAGACCAGATATGATGGAGCTATTTATCCAACTGGGACAAACAGAACTATTTTCTTAATTTTAACTTTTGTATTTAAGTCATTTCTGTAATAAACATACACTGCTTAGATAATTTCTTTACAAGATACTTAAAAAAAAAAAAAACCTTTAGGATGGGGCTGGAGGGAATGGTCCTATTTTCCATTTCTTCCTAGCAAGGACTGAAGAGCTGAAAGGCAGCCCAGTGATTCTGGTGTTTTCCCACTCTGCCATCTCAACAATGACTCCCTTCCTGGTGCTTAGCGCACCTGCTCCGAGCAAACCCCAAGAGCCTGATTTTGAACGAGTCTTCACACTACCATCAAATGATCATCCCTGGAGGATGACTTTTATCACAGATCCACTGTGCCTTGGTCATTTCCAGGAAAAGTCCATTTTCCAGAAACCGTGGACTGTCTACCTCACAGACTAGCTTTCAAGCAGGCAGGCTGCTTAGCAACCACTGAGAAACTGAGAAGCAGGAACGTGGCACCCTCCAGTGATGTTTCATGACCCCAATGAGCCACACTACATGTGTCTGGCTGCATTCAAGGTAACCAAATCAGAGATAACACCCTGCTATTTTTTGCATCATGAGGGAAAATACTTGGCTCCCACTCAAAAGGGCAATTACCTAAAAGTCTTGGCAGTCTCCATGGTATGAGAAATGGGAACTGATAGGAAGGTAAAAAATGTAAAATAAAAAAAATCACTGACCTTCATAAATACTGATGATATGAGGATGGCTGAGGGATGACATGATCTCAATCTCTCGTCTGATGTGAACCATGTCTTGGTCATCCTTAATTTTGTCCTTACGAATGGATTTTATAGCAACCTGTAAAGTCAGGAAATGAAACGTTACTCAGAGAACTAAACAGATGCAAATCAGCCATTGGAGGAGTTTGGAAAATAAATACAGATGTTACTTGTTGGCAAGACCCACAAAAACCAAAACAAAGCTTCGAAATACCCCCCGTCATGTCTTTCATTTATAGCAAAAACACCCTTCTTCCAGCAATACAAAACATCAGGTTTTTAACAACCTAGGGTTTTTGCTTTTATTATTATTTTTTTTTCAGTAGGAAAGAGGCTGCTTGACATGGTCAGATTCAATTACTCTAGGAATCTTGCTCCTTTGAACAAAGCAAAAAGGCAAGCTTGACTTTCAGCGTGTTCATTCAATGTAGTCAGGTGACATCTATACCACTCCACTCCATGTGCAGTCACTGCAGCAGTGACCCAGAACAGAGCAGTCTGTGTGGTCAATCCCAACACCAGCACAGCTTCAGGCCTCGTGTTTGAAGATGCCCCCACTCATGCCAAATCCTTCCTGTGTTCCTCTTCAGGCCCATCCATCTCCAATGGCACATGACATGACAGAAAGACTCCTCTAGAGACAAGTGGAGTAAGACGAAGGCAGTGACTGATAGTCCAGTTCCCTGCCCAACCCCCGTGGAATGCAAAACTCCATGCCAACATTGTCAATGAATCCGAACTGTCCAAAACTGCCACGGCCAAACACAGAGCCACTACTCCAAAGAAACACATAAACCCGGGCATCAAGCAGCAACAGAAATCTAATAAGGAAAAGCATGTTGGCCAATGGAGGCATCTTTGCTCAGAACAAACTGGTTGCTAATTTAATCTATCCTGGCTCCAAGGGAGAGGAAAAACTCCTTGTGGGAGAAGACACCCATGGATAGCAAGGAGTCCACCAACCACCATGACACCTGCTCAGGAAATCTGCAAGGGCCCTTCCCCAACTGGTCCTCTTGTGACCTCAACTCTCACCTAAGTGTTAAAAAACACCAAATTCTCTGGACAGAAACATCTTAGCAGCAGCAGCCCATTGTCACACCTTGACCATCTGGTCAAGGTCAACTGGTCAACCTCAGCCAATGCATCCACAGTTCTTGACCCTTACTAGTTCTTCCCACTGACCACTGAAAATACAAATCTCTCTAAAGTACAAGACTGTAAAAAAATCCATGCAAAATGGAATTGACTAATAAGTTTATGTGCATACAGAAAAAAATCGGAAAACTATTCACTCATGGTTTCTATCATGAACCTTTTTTGACCATTTCTGAAGATCCCTCATAGGCAGGAGCTTCAAAAATGTTGCATCCATGTCAATCTAACCTTCTAATCCCATTTTTTTACAAATTTTTTGAAGTGCACTTTGCAGAGAACTGTGTTGAAAAGGGAGAGATCGCCTGAGTTCATAAATAGCATGATTAAGAACCTTTTTTCTTTCTTGTTGTGGGTGGTGTTGGTGGTGGTGGTGGTGGTGGTGTCCTAGCACCATGTACCATCCGGAATGGAGACAATGGGTAACGATCACAGAAGGTCTTCCTGACAACCCACGGCAGGTCCCATCCTCCCTTAGACCATGGACGGACACATGGATCAGGCAAGCTGCCAGGCAGGCTTCCAGGCCCCGTGCAGCGCCATTCAGTGCTTTCAAGAAGAGCCACCCTGCTGACGTCACAAGACAACGCTCTGCCTGTTGTCTGAGGACAGCCTGCCATCCCAGGAACTTGTTCTTGGCGGAAGCAGACAGTGAACACACACAGGCCAAAAAGGATGTGGGTGGCTGTTGGACTCGCTCCTGCATTCCTCCATAAACTCAAGTCAGGCCAAGGGTAGAACCCTCCCCTCCGATTATGCAGCAAGCTGAACTTGGCCTCAGGAAGGCCTCGTTGTCAAATTACAATAAGAATAAAATCTTTCACCAGTCAGGGTAGTGACATTCTTGTGGAGGGGGAAGAAATAAGCCCTCCTGTCAGCAAGAGGTCAAGGGTCCCGTGGGCCATTGCCAGGGGATGCTGCCAGCTGGATCTGGAAAGACAAAGTGCCCATATTGTACTAAAACCCCTCCAGGGCTCCCTCGATGAGGACAGCCACAGTGGCCAGCCTTCCACAAAGGCTGCCCTCCATCTACATCGAATCTGTTGCCAAAAGCACCCAGAGACAGCTCACAGGGCACCCCCACATCAAACGGGGTGACAGGAAGTCTGGAGGCAGTCGACATCACTTAGAACCAAACCACCAATGTCAAGAGCAGAGGGAAGGCAGAGCAGGTAATAGAAACCAAGAAAATAACAGCCATGGTAATGACAACAACTGCCAGTCATTGGAGCACTCTGTGTGTGGTCCCATGCTATGCTGAGTGTGTTGTACACCCTGAGTATTTGTGTCTTTCTTCTTCAACACCTCAGTTGCCTCCCACCCTTTAGGAGGATCCTTGCTTGCCAAGCCCCGTAGCTGATCCAGCCACTCCCCTTCCTCGGCATCCTCCCCATGTCATCTTTTTAAAACATCTCACAGCAACAGAAATGATCTTTCTTTGTGTGTTTACTGCATATGCAGCCGACATGTGTAGGCCACAGGGAGCTTAGGGATGATGGTCTTCTGTTGCAAGGCTGCTAAGACATAAAGGGGCTTTGCCAAAGCAGCTCCTGTAGGACCGTGTGCTTCCCAAGGTTGGGAATACACTGAGGCCAGTGCACAGGGAGGCACTGCAGCTGGGGGCCTGGCTTTGAGTCCAGGCTACAACTGTTCTCCAGCTGTGTGAACGTGGGTAGGTTACAAAACCTCTCTGCCTCAGTTTCCAAATTTTGCGAGTAGAGAAATCACAGTGGCTACCTCATGGGTGAATCTGTGAAGATTCTAGTGGGGGCTGGAGAACTGCTCTGTGAAGTATCAGCCATTTTTAACCCAAAAAGTGCCACAGGGAGAACCCCGCTTTTCTTTTCTGCCTCGGAGCAAAGCTGAGCTGCCCATGATTCCTCAAGGCATAGCATCGGTGTGTGGTGGTCCCTAGCAGGGCAATCAGTTTTCTTCTCAAAGAACACAAGGATGACTGGGATGCCCACCCTTGATCTGCAAGTTACAAATTCATATCAAACATCAGGAAGCCTTAAACAGCTGGGCTTACCATGGTGACCATGCCACCTGCATCCAAGGGCAAACACCCAACTTCCATTCCTCCTATCTCCTTATCATGGCCATTCCATTTAGACTCCGAAGTCTCCCTAAGGGCACCTACTTCAGCCTTTCTGAATCTTGACAATCTACCACATCCCAGGCCAGAGCTCAACATAGGACAGATTCTGCCCCAGCCTTGAAAGGGAGCAGGGAGGGAATAGAGACATAGAACTTGAGCAATAAACCCAAATTACTCCAATTATCACATAATTGCCCTCATGGCCAAAGGCTACCCAAGAAAGCACAGACATGCCCAGAATCCCTCAATGCCCACCAGGAGCAGGAAAAACAGATGAAAGGAAAGGGCCCAGCAGGAGGAGATGAACACATGTCTGAATCACACACCAGCCCCCTCCCCAAACCACATCATTGCTATGCACATCAGGGCACACGTCACAAGGAGGACTCAGGTGCTTGAGCCTGGCCCGGCATTCAGCCACATACATAAACGCCCCCAAGTCTAGACGGCACCCCGTGCCCTATAAATCAGTCTGCTTTTAAATCAAGCCACCCTAGAGTCTAATGTTTAAACCTTACCCAGTGGCAGGTTTGGCCATGGACCTACAAATCCTGCCCCGTGGTGCCTGCCTGTTTAGGGGCACATTCAGGCCAGCCAATTCCCACCCCTTGCTCAATCTAACAGTTCAGCCTCCTCCTTAGGGTTCCCAATTTTAGCAAGGTTTGGGTTTTTGCACATATTCACTAAAGACCACCTGCTTGGCAGCCTCTTAGGTACCTTTTTCCATAAGGTCCCATGGTGAATGCTGAGGGTTGCTGATCAGGCCAGGCTAGGGGACACTTGCAGGTTCTCCAGCTGTGTGGTGACTCAAGCAAACCCAAACCTCACAGGTCATTGTATCCCCATCTTTACAACAGACTTAGTGAGTCCTACTTCTTGGCTCCTGCTCTAGGGAGTGGAAGACACAGGAGGCAGGCTATGTCTACCTGAGGCTCTACTCAAGACAGCCTCTGCCCTGTTCCCTCTCCAGCCACCTCCCCTCAGTACTGACACATTGACATGTGCCAGCTGTAGGCTGGATTCCAGATAAGTCCCTGGCCAACAGAAGTCATCTGGCATCTTGTAACAATGCAATTTCATAGGCCCAGGTTGGGGCCTGGGATCTTGCATTGCTAGCAAGCTGCTAAGCAATGCCACTAATGCTGGGCCAGAACCAGACTTCAAGAGGCCAGGTCTGGTGCTTCATCTTGGGCCCCCATATCTCAATATTTTAAATCAGCAGCTGTACACTTGACAGTCACTAAGTAACTAACATTTATTCATGTTAACCATGGACCCATAGACCTGACTGACTTTGGCCTTACTGCAACCCCATTTTACAGAGGAGAATTTGAGCCCAGGCGTGCTGAACCAGGAGCCTGATGATTGTCTAGGCTGTGGACACAGCAGGGGTGGACAACAAGTCCACTCCAGAAAAAATGCCCAAGGGTCTCTGGAGACTGGAGAAGATGGACCACCTTCAAGCAGAGGGAATCTTACAGGTTCCTATGTGAAGTGCCAGAAGGCAGGGTTGGGGAACGGAACAGCAGGGAAGAAACCTGCTCATAAACATGGCATGAGCATTCCTGAGTGAGAACAGGTTTGTCTTCTAATCCCAGCAGCACGAGCTGGCAACCTCCGTGCCACTCAGCGTGTGATCTCACCCCAGGCCATGCCCAGGCGCCATGGGAGCTACGGAACACTGAGCTGGAGGTAAGTGGGAATGAACAAGGGGAGAGTCTTTCTACCCAGGAAGCCCTCGGGCCAGCTGCAGAGGAGACCAGCAGCTGTGTCCAGCTGCAAGCCAGCAAACAGGAGGGTTTTACTGCCCTGGTCTGGGAGGTTGA